GGAAATCCTCTACCTTTTCCCAAGGATGTGCCTTAAACCACCAGTACATCTAGAGAAATCAAAAGGATGTGCCTTAAACCACCAGTACATCTAGAGAAATCAAATGAGCCTCTCTGAAAAGTTTGGGGACTCGGGACAGGTCACGCCTGGGGTCGGGCAATTTTTTTTTTTTTGTTGCTCAGGGCTGGGCCTCGTGCCACCCAATGGCATGCGACATAGTTGTTTTTCTACTGGGGCTTCAGACCCCCTGTCCCAAGCCTCTGGAATTTTAGGAGAGGCTCAATCGCAGTCTCAACTTGCCTGGGGAAATGTATTGTTGGTTTAAACAATGAGTACCCTGGCCGATCTTTTTTTCTTAAGCTGGGCCTTATATGTGCTTATGAAGAATGAGTCTAGGGTGTATCCTTCTTCGGTATACTTTTCCGTGCGCTTTGTGCCTAACCCAAGAGACTTGATTTTGTGCCTTCCATTTCACGACATGAATTTGGGTACTTAGGAGAGATATCCCATTATGACTTTTTGTGCTTCGCACCTGCTGATTAAGCTCCACTTTAAGCTCTTTAGATAAGAATTGAGTCACCAACCTTTTGATCTCGACAGCATCTGCTCTGGAACCTGCTGTTATGATAATAACAAAATCATCAGCATATCTGACATAGAAGAGTCTTTTGAAACCCGGATCCATTGGATCTGATGAAGTCTTCCATAGGGTTTGCCGGTTGCCGATTTTTGTCGTTTGAAGAGCGGAAGCTCTTATGATCGCCTCGCCGCTGAGTCTTCGACGAGGAGTTTCCGTGTCAAATTTGGCTTTGTTGAGGGTCGAAGAGACAAATTTGTCTTTGGGGTCGGGGCTGTCGTTGATGAATGGTGTCAATTGCCACTAAAACGCCCCCAGTCGTTGAAGTTTGTGGCTCCATCCCTCGGCCGAACACTAGGCCCAAGTATTGGTGGTTCAAGGAAGCCACATGGGGAAAAGAAGTTAGCAGTGGCCACGTGGGATTGATGTAGAGCCGAAAGCATATCAGTTTATGCCCCCATCCTCTCCAGTGTTCTGATTATATTCCGTCTCTCAGTTAAGGAAGCCACACGGGGAAAAGAAGTTAGCAGTGCCCCTGTCAGGAAACATCGAGCGATATGTATGATTGTGGCCTTCTTTTAACTTTTTCGGCGCTAGATGTATTTTTATTTATATCTTTAGGTAGAATGGTTTCTTATTCTTACAAACAGTTCCAATGGGCGCTTGATTAATTATCTTTCTTATTCTTCAAGTCGCCATATTAGATCTGTCAGCTGCACTGGTGTACGAGCAATTGATGTAGAGCCGAAAGTGTATCAATTTATGCCCCCGTCCTCTCTAGTGTTCCTGATTATTTTCCCTCTTCATCCTTTCCTGGTCATTCGAAGGGTCGACACATTGAAGAGGTGACACAGCAGCTTGCCCTTGGGCAGTAGGGTTGGGAACAGTTGCATCAAAGGGTTCTCAAATAGATTCGCAAACCAGTGCGGTCTGCTGTGTTTCCCCTTAGTGTAGAGAAGGCTGACAAAAGCTCTAACCACGGCTTGTGTTCCCCTTTCACTGGAAACATTCCATCAGTGAACAGCACCACATTTTGTAGTGGAGGCGGACCTCTTTGTCCGGGAGGCTCTGTCAGGTTTCTTTTGCGATCTCGAGGGCTTTCAAGAATGAAGATGACGTGGTCCTTGAGTGGCCAGGTATATAATTTTTTGTATCTTTAGGCAAGGTGAAAGGTTTACCCTTTTCTTGTCAGGATTGGGTGCAAATGCCTTGTTAAAATTTTTGAATGGGATTATCATATCTTCGTACTCATGGTCAATGGTCACCAAGACCCTGCGGAAAAACGCTCCACTTCCAAGTTCACCTCCTAGGGTGCCACTGCCCAGGTCTACTTCCTAATTGGATGAAGCCTGTTCGATTAGCTCCATCGTACTCTACCTTCCAACCAAGAGCCTGTGGAAAACACTCTTACCTCAAAGTTCAGCTCCTAGGGTGGCACTGCCCATGTCTACTTCCTCATCGGATGAAGAGTCTTCGATTGGCTCCGTCGTACTCTACCTTGAAAATGATGACTGCTCATCAAGTGTCTCTAGTTCAAGTGCTTCTTGGGTGCGGAACCAACATGCGGAGGATTCTTACGTATAGCCTCTAGTTCTTGGAGATCACTATCAAAGGATTCCCATTTCTCTAACTCCTTGGTGCCAAGCTGGGGAACAAGACTCGGGGGGCTGCACCCTGCAAAACTATACTAGCTTAGCGACGTTAGATAGTTCTAGACGTGAAGTAAGAAACAACGCTGCAGGCTTTTGAACAGACTCCTGATAGGGGCGACGCACGTGGTCATGCTCAACTTTTGAAGAAAAGTTAGAAAACCCCTTTTGGCATACAATTCCATTTTGAGGAAGTAAAAGGTCGTTGAGCAAAGTTTTATACTCAAGCTCGAAGTAAACCCCTCCGTATGCGACAGAACTAGAAGTATTGCAGACATTGCTTTGGCGTGTGCTGCAGTAAACAACGCGTGAAACATATTAGGTTTGGCAGATATGGAACAACTTTGGGTGGATTGAATTTTTAAAAGACAAGGTACTTCTGATCTTTGTTAATGTGTCATAGATGCGTAAAAGATGGCCAAAATATGAGATAGGACTCCGAGCAAGAATTCCACGAAATCAGGTGACAAAATTCTGACCGTTGGAGCAGTCTTGCAACTGGTGCGCTGCTGGGAAAACTGGGTGCACTGCGCGAAAAACAAATGAACAAATAGAAGGAATCATTATCATTGTTTTTAAGGAAGTGTCCAGCCAGGTCAAAGGATATACTTCTGAGGAAGCGTCCAGCCGGAAGTGTGCCTGCAGTGTGCCGCACTTGCAAGTATGTTTTAGACTGAGTTTTGATTGTGGGTTCTGGTCTTGATTTTTGACTCCTATGTTTGGTATTGATTCATGCTAGAGTCTTCAAATGAGATCTACAGACTGGTAGAGAACTAGTCGGTATGGTCTGGACTTGGTCTGAGATGCGGTGTCTGGTCGTGTGCCTGCCATTTGAGTTGCAGTGCCTGTGATGTCGATTGGCTAATAGTGTAGGAACCTCTTTTGCCGTTGCTAACCCTAGGCCTCCTCTGGCCTACTCTGAGGAAGTGGGACCAGGAGACATCGCTCACAGGTCCAGTTTTGAAGCAGATCTGTGCCTGGCATCTATAGGTTCCCGCAACCGCATTTGGAGCCTCCAAAAGTTTTGGTGATGAACTTAAGGCTGTCGGGGTGCAAGTGGTTTGCTGTTTAGCTCGACTTACAAGCGCCTTTTCAAAGATGGCCTGAAGGCTAGGCCGTACTTCGGGAAATATGCACTGCTAGATTTATAATGGAGTTTTTCTCTGGACGGAGGCAAGCGTTGTACGCTTCATACATTTGATCGGATCAGAAGAAGGGTCACAAATGGCTTGACTCTTCCAAATGCATAGTGGAGCGTTTCTAAGTGCATGCCCTTCTGAATGCAGGAAGGTATAGAACACATCCTGTCACACGATCTTGCTCATGAGATCATAGGTGAGTACACTGTTGTGGGCATCCGCCACGTATCTCCTGTTTCTGAATGCAGGAAGGTATATAACACATCCTGTCGCACGATCTTCCTCATGCGATCATAGGTGAGTACACTGTTGTGGGCATCCTGCCACGTAGCTCCTGTTTCAAGAGGGTAGTCATCAATCATTGGGAATTGTGAGTAATCCTCCTTCGCTTGGTTTTCCAGCATTATACTAGGATCCTTGTGGCTGGGCATGCTGTTCGCAACCATCCTGTCATTGGGGAGCTTTGGACCTGAACTGTTACCACACCAGGGTTTCCACCGTTCTCGTTCACTGGATTCTGGGTGCACCTTGTGTGCAGCCATGTCTTGTAAGAAGGAAGATTCTTCTTGTTACAGATACTTCAACGCAACACAATGACAAACTGGGCAACAGGGTTCAAAGTTCTTGTAAAGCGGTCCTCAAAACGGGTTTTGAAGCCCTTGAGAATGGCGTTTAACAACAGGGCTTGTGTCTGTGTTGGTCACGCCCAGGACGTATTCGTGGTAGGGTTTCCCTGAGTGGATCTTGTTGTAATCGTGGCTGGATTCTGTCTGAAAACCCCCGTTTCGAGTATGCCCCTAGATTAGCATGTAGAGCTGCTGAGGTGTCTCAGCAGTGTTGTCGGATGAGCAACAGACTCAAAGAATGCAGGGAGATGTCTCTGTGTGCTATTGATAGCAGCTTTGCTGTTTATGGCAACTTGTTTTGGATTGAAATTTGGATCGAAATGTGCACAAGGTAACTCCATTGTTGACGCTGTGAAAAGGGGCCATGTTTGTGCGCATATCAAAATGTTTTGCATGTCGTCTGCTCACCATGCACCGTTTAAAGAACTTCACGTGTTGTTTGCGCATCATCTGGGTATGTAGTGAAGAAGGAAAATGATGGAAGTTAATCCAATGTGCGCAGATGCATTTGCTCTCTGCAAGCTATTTTTTGGTGGCATGTCTCGCCTTGGTGGGACGATAGTATATAGTTACGTGAGCCTTTTCCATGTAGCTTACTAGATTTAGGGGTAGATTTGCCCAGTCCCCACCCATTCTTAACCCACCACTACTTGACCCATAGATTGGCCACAGGCCCTTGTCGTATACGCGTTGCAAATTTTGGGGCGTATGCGACCATTGAGAAATTTGATCAGTGGTCCTCACGGGTTCGTTTTCCGGCGCGCAGGGCATCGCCAGGGTCGGAGAAAAGTGCCTCGGAAGTACTGGTGGTTTAAGGCTTGGAGTGAGAGTGGTCTGAAATGAGTGTAAGATATTATGGCACACCTGACCGGTGATGCAACTTCTTTTGTGAGAGTTTGGGTTTTTCGTATGTGATCTTGTATGCAGCTGTGTCTCTATTGCATTTGTCTCCTCACTGCTTTCTAAGTATTCTGTGCCTTGATGTCCGTCTGTGTGCTTGCATGTGCAGGTTTCGCTTATCCTCGGGGAGAAATCAGGTATACCTGAAACAATCAATGAACAGTATATCAAATGGATTAAAAAAGAAACAAAGAACCAGAAACGCAGATAGGTTAAAAAAAAGCAGATAGGCTGCAGTATGAAACGAAGACTAAATCTTCAATCTAAGGAATATGATGAAAAGGTATAGTTTTATCTGAGATTTGAACGAACTGATAGGAGAAAATGTGGGAAGTCAAACCACCAACACGTTGCGAAGGTCGCCGCTGTATTCATCCGAGTCATTGCTATAGTGCTGTGATGTTTTCACCCGAATGAATTTATGCAAGCGCCCCAGGCCCGTTAATCCCAGCACATCGTGGCGTGCATGCAGCCGCGACTTTCGGAAGTTACCTGTGGTTTAAGGAAGTTGGGTATATACTATATATTGTTTGTGTCCTTGGTATATACTATATATTGTTTGTGTCCTTTCCCCACCACCATGTGACAGAACTAAACTGCAAACAGCACGCTCCAGGTTGTCTTTTGTTGAGGTCACCTATCAAGCTTTTCTGTCCTTTGAAACAGTGATTGGCTGTGTGCCATTACAGGCGCATGATTGTACAGCATTACATGTCTTCTTCTGTTCATCATGTCATATTCTGTTCTTTGTGTCGCTGTGCAGTGGAAAGTGCTCCAACGAGTTGAAAAAAGAAAAGAAAAAAAGTGCTCAATGTGAGTGATCCTTTTGGGGTTCATGATAGTAGAAAACACTACTGTCTTCCCCCAAACATAACGCATGTGTTGCAAACGAATACAACACATGGGTTGCTTTCTATTCGAATTCATCGCACATGCGTTCTATTCAAATACAGGGCATGTGCGTTCTATTTGAACAGCTGGTACATTCGAATACAACACGTATGCATTCTATTCGAATCATCGAGTTTCTTCGGAACTCAAATAAAACGCATATGGGTTATGTCCAGGGGGAGACGGTAGTGGCGGCTGAACCAGACATTCTCTATCCAGTTTGCATAACATGTTCTTCGAAACAGGTGTCTTTGGGAATACCATCGAGAGACACAGTTTGGATACCGTATTTGTAATGTTTATGATTTGTTATTGAAAATGTACACGCGAGCCTGGGGATGTTGGAGAAGAGTTCAAAATTAAAAACTGCTTGTTTCTCGTGATGTATTTGACAGGTTCAGGCAACTGGACCTGAGAGGAAATGTAGATCTAAGGCAAGCTGTCCTTAGGGACGTCCGTTAAAATTGAAACGATAGAGAGAAGATTAGCATGGCCCCTGCGCAAGGATGACACGCATAAATCGAGAAATGCTCCCAAAAAGAAAAAAGAAGATGTAAGGCAAGCTGACAGTCGATCCTCAACACGGCCGGAGCAATCAATGCTGTTCAGGGGTCCTTTGGCCAGAGGGAAGGAAGCGTGGGGGTGTTCATGTTGCAATGTTGATGTGCCGGTGGGATAGGAAGCGGACTGACGCTCTCCACAGGAACCGGACCGAAGCTCCTCAGAATGGATATGGAGCCAGGGCCATAAGGACCTGTGAAAAGAAAAGAAAAGAAAAGAAAAGAAAAAACCTTGTTGCTTTTGGCTATCTGAACCCAAAATTAGCATCTGCACTTCATCTGTGCTGCATGAGTTTTGGATTTGGAAGTGGTGAGCTATGAAGCGCTGAGGGGTGAGAATAATTCTACCTCTTTCATGTGTGGTTTGTCTGGGTGTGTGACGTTTGTGACTGGGTGTGCAAGACTGAGGTTGGCGGGGTCACCGGGGTGCAGTAATATTGCTGTGGTTAAACCTGTCGCCGTTGGTCACACCTTTCTCATGAAAATCAGACGAACACCTGCCGATGACAAACCTGTCGACGTTGGATCGTTGATCCAATGAATGGACTCTAAAAAGCCGGAGTCACGTTGTGACCAGTGGTAGGAAAAGGTAGTGGCGGTCTCATTCAGAAGCGGCACCTCATGTGTTGCTGTAGGTGTCACTGTTACCTCTCTGCCCATCACTTGGTGCCGCTGTTTTTGTGGTGGGAAGGAAGGCCAGTGCTACCGCACTCTGGGAAGTCTCTGCTATTCTCGTTGTTCAAGTTTTCTTCCTCCTCCTCTTGCTTTTCTTTGGCTTGATCGTTCTTTCCCACTTAATCTGTGGTCTTCTCCTGTTGCTTATCCTGCTTTCCTGTTGTCATCTTCCAGAGCAACATGTTTACATCATTATCACTTGTTTGCTGTCCGAGCATGATAGATAGATAGATAGATAGATAGATAGATAGATAGATAGATAGCGAGAGAGAGAGAGAGAGAGAGAGAGAGAGAGAGAGAGAGAGAGAGAGAGAGAGAGAGAGAGAGAGAGACTCCTGTTGCTTTTCTTTGGCTCGAACGCTCCTTCCCACTAAATCTCAGGCCTTCTCCTGTTGCTTATCCTTCTTTCCTCTTATCATCTTCCAGAGCAACATGTTTACATCACTATCACTCGTTTGTTGTCCGAGCATGTGCAAAAGAGAGAGAGAGAGAGAGAGAGAGAGAGAGAGAGAGAGAGAGAGAGAGAGAGAGAGAGAGAGAGAGAGAGAGAGAGAGAGAGAGAGAGNAGAGAGAGAGAGAGAGAGAGAGAGAGAGAGAGAGAGAGAGAGAGAGAGAGAGAGAGAGAGAGTGGTTGAAATGATTTCTTCTTCTTCCTGCAGACAAGTGGGCAAGTGAGGCTCATGAGCCCACTTGTTTATGGCGGTTGATGATACTGTCTATGCAGGTGTTGTGGATTCAAGTAACGGGTGCTTGAAGGATGGTGCCCCAGTAATTCTGCTGAGGATCATTACGACAATGGTGTGTGACTCTGTGGTGGTCACGATGGTCTTTGTTCTGGTTCTGTGCAACAGGGGGTGAACAAAAAGGGGAAGCCTTGTCCACCAGTGCCGTGAAGGAATTACTTTCAGTATTTGCGCTGAAAGATACATTGACGAAGGCAGAGGTGCGGCTGATCAGTGCTGCAAATGGCATAACTCCAGCTCAGGTAAGCTTTCCCATTCTGTGTCCCATTTGTCTTTCCTAAAGCAAGTTTCATGGCAACCAGTCCCGAGTCCCGACTATTCCACATTTTCACGATCTAAAGTTGGCAGAGCCAACACCTGTCCATCGCTCTGGATTTTCAGTCGCACATTCCCAAAATCTTGCAACTTCACTGTCCTGCAGTTGCCCCTACTGCGTCAGTACATTGTTCCTATCTTCCTATCTTTCTACAGCTGCGGATATTCCCACAGTTTGTTATCATTACAAGTCAGTCCCAAAGACCATTAGTCCCATGCCGTGAGAGCTTGGATTCTGAGAGTTCCACAGTCCCACATATTACCAGAGTCCCAGAGTCCCACATTCTCAGAGTTCCCCACACTTCCCAGATTGGTTGCATGGCTCTACAATCACTGTATCATAGGGCTGCTGGGAATTCTGCGGTCCCACGTTCCCCAGATCTTGGGGGCGCCGTTTTTGTTCCACAGCTGCCCAGTCCCATAGCTGTCATAATTTGGCAGTCCCACAGCCACATTATGATTATTTTTTTCAGTCCCAGTGTTAACCAGTCTCACTGGTGGTCTAACCCAGAGTCGCACGATGTCATCGTTCCTTCACAGTCCGGCATCTGGACATGAGCTTGTTCGCACGAATCGATCAATATTGAGTAGGTAATATTGCAAGGTCAGCCTTGAGAATGCTTGACATCTCCTCACTGTGCATGTGGAAATGCGTCCACGAGCAACTGGCTATGGTCAGGTGCATTGTTTACACGGGGATGGTTCCCCCAGAACACTCAATCAGGCCATCTTCATCTTTCTTAGCGGTATATTCCAGCATGCTGAGCCTCCTGTCCCTCCTCTTCCTCCTCTTCCTCCTCTTCCTCCTCCTCCTGCTCCTCCTGCTGCTCCTGCTCCTCCTGCTCCTGCTCCTCCTGCTCCTCCTGCTCCTCCTGCTCCTCCTCCTTGTCCTGCATCACCAGCATCATCACCATATATTCCAGTGTGCTGAGCCTCCTCTCCATCCTCGTCCTCGTCCTCCTCCTCCTGCTCCTTCTCCTGCTGCACCTGCTCCTCCTGCTTCTCCTCCTCTTGCTCATCCTCCTGCCCTCTGTCCTGATCGTCCTCCTTGTCCTGCATCACCAGCACCAGCACCATCACCGTAGCCATGAACTTCCCCCTGTATCTGGCCCAGCCAGCGTCCCACTAAGAAAGGTTTACATCATTTTGCTGTCTTTCATTCCTCTTTTCTTGCACTCCTTCACTTTTCTATAGCCACTCTGGTGATTAATCAGACGTGAAGCGTCTACTCGAGTACCCCATCTCAACCTGCTTTTGAATGATCTCAACACCCCAAAATTACTTTTTGTGTCATTTTTGCACCCTGGCTGGGCTGGTAGCGCCCACTGTGCAAAAATGGTGGGAAAGTGTTTTCCAGCGTGCAAACATGACACCAAAAGCCATTAACTTTTCCCCATCATAAAATGATAGCATGTGGTGACAGGGGTCTGTCTGGCAGATAGTATGCAGCTCCCACCACACTTCTCCCCAAAATGGTTATGCCAATTTGGATGCACTGTAAATGATACTCCAACGGGAGTGCTCATAGGCGGCAAGTGTTGGCTGCCTGGGGGGATTCCATGGCCAAGTATTCTGTCTGACAACTTGGCAAACAGGACGGACCTGTTTGTGAAACTAACCTGGTATATGCTAATGTAGACCCGCATAGAACCAGTGGAGCCTTTAACTCATGTTTTCAGTGTCAAGTTGCGGATGGTAGGTCACACACATTGTGTCTTATCACGAAGTAAAGAATTGTTTTTTGTTCTGATCGATGTTAAGCTTCAGCCGGGTTTGGTCAATGCTGGTTAATGCTGGTTAATGTTTGTTAATGTTTGTTAATGTTGGTCAGTGCTGGTCAATGCTGGTTAATGCAGGTTAATGCGGGGGTTAATGTGGGTCAGCGGGATTTGTCGATGCGGGTCAATGCTCGCCAACGCTGGTTAATGCTGGTTAATGCTGGTTAATGCTGGTTAATGCTGGTTAATGCTGGTTAATGCTGCTGGTTAATGCTGCTGGTTAATGCTGCTGGTTAATGCTGCTGGTNTGCCGGTTAATGCCGGTTAATGCTGGTTAATGCTGGTTAATGCCGGTTAATGCTGGTTAATGCTGGTTAATGCTGGTTAATGCTGGTTAATGCTGGTTAATGATTTTGTTGATGCTGGGTTAATGCTGGTTAATGGTGGTTGATGTTGGTCAATGTTGGTCATGGTTGTCAATGGTGTGGAATGCGGGTCAATGTAGGTGAAGGAGTTCTTCACATCGCAGCGCAAGTGTGTCCGAAGGTTGCTGCTGCAGAGACCAAAGTTGGAGGGGGATGCAGAGCAATCCCCCCTCCAAATGGAAGGAGATGGATCCAACGGGCCGAGAATAAAGTCTTCCAGTGAGATGGATCCGCAGCTCTTGGCGATCGTGGACAAGGTATCAGGTGGTCTTGCAGGTGAGAGTGTGGCACAGATGATGGTCCAGCTAATGGAAGCAGAGGAGGGAATGGCCGGGAGAGCAACGCTTGCTAAAGTTCTTCTAAGAACAAAACAGAGACAGAGCTTGACAAGGTGCGGACGAAGCCCTCAACCTTTTTTTTTTTTTTTTTTTCAGAAACTACACAGGAGTCTCAAAAAGAGTTTGAAAATACACTTTGTCGAAGTTTGGACAAAAAAAAAACAGTTCACAAATTGCACTTTGGACAATTTATACAAGCTATAGCTTTCAGGCAGGGTTGCGTGGGGGTGTGTTACGTTCGGGGGAATGCCTGAAGTGTAGTTTCAAACTGTTTTTGTGACTGTACTGAAGTTACCCCTTTTTTTTTTTTGGTTCTATTTTGACGAACCTCAAACCGCCAGTGTGCCAACCTGTGGCATTTGGAAAAAAAAAAAGAAAAAAACAAGTATGCAACCATGTCCAAGAAGGCCACAGGTAGGCTGAGCGCAATGATGGGTGGAGGGTCAAATCTGGTACTCGTTTGTGCCAAGGCCAGCCTCCAAAAAAGGACCATGTATCAGGAGAATGAACGGTTCTGAAAATGACTGAGTGGTTTCGAATGACTCGGAAAAACTGGAGGAGTGGGGGTGCTTTAACTTCCTATATTTATGCTGCCCATGTCCGCGAATGATAACCTGCCCTGCCCCTCGCCCCCCCTGTCCCCCTCACAAAAAAAGCTGTACGGCTGTTTTACTTGGGTGTGCTGGTGGTCAAACTACCGGTCGGCGGTCGGTTTCCCAGCTATTTTTTTCGACCCGCTGGCTAAACCAGCTGCGAAATTGCAGATCGGGCATACCGGATGGAAAGGGCTGGCGCCTCACGCACCAGAATTGGCATGGGGCAAAAGCCGCAAAACCTTTGCCGGGAAAAAGAGGATTGGATGGAGTGGTGGTTTGATATTGACGGCGTGGTGTTCTCTGCAGGAGTCACCCTTGGGTTTAAGCGAAGATCTTTTTCTATTTTCACAGCAATTTGCTTGCTGGTTTCCACAGTATGTGTTAGGTTGTAAAACCCAATGTGCCCTTTCCCAACTGACTCATTTGGACACGCGGACTGGTGATTTGGACGAGTGATACCTCTTGGGAGACAGATTTGAAAAATATATTAATGGAAATCGGAATAGACGTGTAATTGGGACGGGGAAGGGGACTACCAAGAATGAGACTGGAACTGGAATGGGGCTAGAATCAGACTGAAACTGGAATGGGACTAGAATCAGACTGGAACTGGAATGGGACTAGAATCAGATTGGAACTGAATGGGACCAGAACCAGACTGGAACTGGAATGGGACTAGAACCAGACTGGAACTGGAGAGATGGGGAATAGAACTGTGCAACAGTGTTATTATTATGATACCGGTATGTGTAATCCAGATTGTACTCTAGTTCAAATCAAGGTTATAAATCTTGATCAGCCCAACTTGTCATGGACTGTTCGTTTAGGTGTAACCAGGCTCGTATGCCTTTTTTTTTTTTTTTTTTTTTTTTTTTTTTTTTTTTTTTTTTTTTTTTTT